CAGCAAGCTGCCTCTGCCAAAGTGGGAGGTAAATCCCAAAGTTTATTGCATTGCCAATGGGTTTTTTGGAAGAGTGCAGAGCTTGTAGCAAGGGTTGGGTGTTTCTGGTGCCTTAAACAAGAGCAGATAAAGTCACATAGGAGCTAAACTATTGAGCTCACACAGCTGAGACTAGCTGAAGAACTGCTGCTGGTGTGTTCCCTTCCATTTGTGAATGATGCTGGTGGGCTTGGGTTTTGTTAAACTTCCTCTGCGTTTTGGTAAAATGCTAGTCTACATGCATCTGACGTATTTGCATGCAAGCTTAGTGTCACTGGGGAGTTGCCTTGCTTTGACTACCTTAAGGATGCGCATCTTGAACTTCCATCAATATGCTTTAGTAGCTACCTTTTAAAGTGCAGGGATTGCGCCTGGCAATATGCCATCCTGTATGTTGCCAAGTTTCACTGACCAGTATTACTTCCCCCTGAGACCAGCATTTTGGAAAGTCCCTGACGGAAAGCATGTCCTCTGTCTGCTTCTCTGGCTGATAATCCACAGCTCACTCCTCTGATGTGTTTAAACATGCATTATTTACCTGCAACTGGGGAAGCCCCACTGCAAATGTGTGCGCACACCTTTGTCCCCTAGAGTGGTTTTATCTTTTGCTTTTTATAAAAAAAAGAAAAGTGGAGGTTGTCAATAGAAGGAGCTCTGCAGTTCCCAGGGGTAGGGCACGTCCTGTACACTTGCAGAGTAGTGTAACCCTTGCCTCGTGTTTGGGACCCCACGCTGGCTGTAGGCTTAAATCAAATGTGTCTCTATTATAGAGGAAGAATGATGGGGACTTGGAGCAAGACAGTAATGCTTGTTGGTGTCTTGCATTTCCTTCATTCTGCCTAAGAGTAACTGCCATTGGGAATGAGGAATATTCTCACCTAATGAGACTTTCATCACTGAAGCCGCCTTACATAGATGGGGCAGGAAGAGTAAATTTTAACATTTCCAGACAGGAGTGGGTTTTTCTTTTTGCAGGTGGGAGAAAACATTTTAAACCTTATGAAATTGCTGAAATCACATTTTTTTTAATTGCAAAGGTTCCCCAATATAGTACAAAGGAGAGAGATGACTTATTGAGTGTAAGCAGCAAGTCACCATGCAGTTCAATTTTCAAACTCAATGGATGGGTTTGCCAGCCAAAAATGGGGTGTGGAAGGCTTTATTACTCACAGCGTTGTCTGGATTCTTTACGCCTGTTGAATTGGGTGGGTAATTTTCTGTAGGCTTATGACCCTTTGTAAGACAGGACCCTGCCCTGAGACTGAGCTGCCTGAATTCCAAGCAGATCACATGTATTCTGCCTCAGCCCAAGCCTGATGCTGCAGCAGCGCTTTAGCAATCTGGATTTTTCCTGTGCAGAGGAAATACGTCTTTTTGGTGCTGCAGATTAGCCTTTCCTGGGCTGGGGAAATGGATAAGTAGCAGAACACAAGGACAGCTTTGGATCTTGCCCCCTTCTGTCAGAGAATGAGGAAAGCCATACCAATACTGACCAGTGACCAGTTTGTCAATACTTGGCATGCAGAGGTATAATTGTGTTACTGGGACTTGCCTTCCAAAACCAGCACAAATGGAGGACTTGTTCCAAACCTAGTTAATCCACATCTGCAATACTGTTTACAAGTTTTTTTCAGGCTTTCAGGGAACTCATAATACGCTTCCTCAGCCTGGAGCCTTTTAAAATATATATATATATAAAGATAAGACGAGAGTAAATCACCTTGTCCTTCATACCTGAAAACTTAAGAGGAATGTGTGGGTTCTTGTAAAGAGGAGTGGGCTTTCTTCTTCCAAGTGCTGCACAAACCACCTCCTCTCTGCAAAACCTAAAAAAAAATTTTTTTAAAGGTTTTGACAGTGCTGGGATTCACAAGCTTCCCTTTGATGGCCCAGTGGGGCCTCTTAGGCAGAGGATTAAGAGAAACTGCCCGCATAATGGTCCTTGGATGGTGTGTTTGCCCTGCCCATCCTGAGTAATTTAGCAGAGAATTTTTTTATGCTAATCTTGGCAAGTTTATTCTGTTTTTAATGAGATTCTTGTTTTTGAATCCTGTGTGCTGTATGCAGTATTAAAAGGTAAACAACCTTGAAGAGGACTCATCTGTGGCTGTGAAGTACCTGGCATATGTATTGTTGGGCACCCAGCTGTGTGTGCCTTTTCTGTTGATTCAGGCTGGCCTCACTTGTTAATGGGGAACAATCCCAGCAGATAAATTGCAGCCTGACCCAGAAAAAGTCCCTCCACTAAAAAGCAAACCATTGCTGGGAAGGAAAGCTGCAGCGGGCAAGCTGTTCTGCTAGCAATCAATGCACCTTTTGTCTGCTTATTCATAGCACAAGAGCTGTGCTGGCAGATGCCCAGCTTCTTCTGTGAAAGCAGTTATGGGGGTCATAGTCTACCTTTTAGATTCCCTCACAGTTGCCTCCAACAAAGGAGAGGTTAAAAGTGTCCCTTCAAGTGGAGGGGGGAGATGTAAAGAGATTTGACAAGAGCTACACAAGTGCAGGAGGGAAGGAAGAAGCAATAGGTAAATGGTTGCAAACCAGCTTGAAATAGGATTTCATTTTATAACAAGTAGCGTGTGATGTCTCTTTATACATAAAGAACAAGCAGCCTCCTTGGTCTGGATTTTTTCTTTATTTTATAAGCAGCAGCATGTAATACTGATTATTATGCTTCCAGGGGTGCCTTTTCCTAAAGGATGTCCTGGCTTTGTATCTGTTCCTTTGATGGAAACCAGAATACAATGGATTGGGGTGGTGGTATTCCACTACTGAAAGAGCCCTAGCCAATCCAGTGCAATAGAATCCCAAGATTATATTTAATAGCAGTGTTTGCAGGAGTTACCTATTAGAAGACCTCGTAGTTATTTGCTCTCCTCTCTACACAGTCTTTGTATTTGTAAAGATCCAATGGCAGACTTCAGCTTCCTGACCGTCTGATACTGTACTTGGCAGCGGCAGCTACTAGCTCATTTTAAGAGAGTCACAAAATAGGCAGGGCAGTATTCAACAAAGTTGAGTAGGCCCATTGAAATTACTGGGCCTGACTTAGTCATGTTCATCAATTTCTGAGTAAAGTTCAGTTGAATACCACTCTTGGATCACTTCCAGTCAATGGGCACAGGAGGAGCAACTTCCAGTCCAACAAGGCAGCACTAGATTTTGTGACCCTTATTTCTCACAGAGCGTTCTTCCACCACTTTAATTTTCCAATATTTCAGCCCTGGCTTATACCTTACAAAAGTAATGGAAAGTCTGATTGCACTGAAGTGATATAAAAATACAAATGGATCATACGATAATTATAGAAAATGCTAGAACAGGGCTTTCACTCACACGGGGAACTGTAGTATCACATGTACTTTGGGTATGGGTGGGTTGTGGCATTTAATTCAAGCGGCTTATTACTACAGCAAGATCAAAGGAGGAAAAGTGGGGGTAGATACTTCACTCCAGATTGCTAATCATTTCCCACTTCTGATCCTGTGGCTTTACAGCATGATTCCTGGATTATCTAGTACCACTCAAACAGACTTTCGTTTTCATTTTCATTTGAAATCTTGTAGGGCTTGGCAGTTGGATGTGCCACTGTGTTTGGACTTTGGAAATGCCACAGAGAATCAGTATGGTAGATATTTCCCATCCTGGACATAATAATATAGAATTACTTCCCCCTAAGGTTAAATATACCTTCTTGTGAGTTTTCACATGTTCTCTGCTTTGCCACACTAGTGGCAGACTTTTTGCTAGAGGAAGAACTCTTGGTGATGTTGCAGTGATAAATGCTTCCCGTTTCTTATTATTGCATACTTGTTCCTCGTGTTTTACATGACTGTAGCATAGGTATGGGAATCTTTTGCTCTCCAGGCCAAACGTTCCCCACCTGCTTTAGCATAACTTTCTAACCATCTTAAGTCTTGATTGTAACTCCTGGGCACCTCTCCTCCCTACACAACACTTACCAGGAATTTGCACACTTACAAATCAGTACACAAATGTCAGCCTCAAGCTGTATGGCTGCAACACACTAGCGTACCCTCATCTCTCTCTCTTATTTATTTTATTTTAATTTCTTTTTGTCCAGCTAGGCTTTTGTCTTACACTTCAAAATTCACCTACCACATTTTCTGAGAGGGTTGTAAAACATTTCGGGAAGTAAGTTCTGTTGCAATGTAGTCTTTTTCCCAGATGGTTAAAAATATCCTGCTGAACATCTGTGCTAGTATATCTTGATCCAGCAGTAATAGCATAATACCTTACCCCTTGGTATTGGAATTAAAGGATAGCACTGATGAATTGGGAACTGCCACACCAGTTTGTTTTTAAGGTAGGAGATGAAGACCCATATGAGTGGTTATAAAAGACTCAAAACTGAAATGGATACTAAATAAAATGGTGTTGGAAGGGTTATAGGATTTTGGTGGTGCAGGGCAGTACTATAGAATAGGTGTTGTTTAGGGAGGTACAGCTACCAATAAGAAGCTGGCTTTTATTAGCTTTAATAGGGCTTTGAATCCTCCCACACTGATCAAGTATAGTGGGCATACAATGCCTCCTACAGTTTACAAAATGACATTTGGACTATCTGCTCTTATCAGTGATGCTGTAGGAAATAGCCACTATATGCCTGATGTGACCTCATAACCACATCGTTCTTAATAGCTGGCACTTCGGAGGAGATTGCATTTTCCCAGCAACAAAAATGCTGCAGACTCCCTATAACACACATACTGAAAAGGCAGCTGGATCTCATACAATAATTCTGTACCAATCTTTAAAAATACTGAATAAAAATGCATCATCAGGAAGAACTCTTCTCATTAACTAGGGAATTTGTCCAGCCTCAGAACCCTGATTGAGTTCTCAGACAGCAGCCCAAATGCAGCAAGATCAACGTGCCACTTTCAAGGAGCTGCCACTGAAGCCAAGCATGTAAATAATGCTTCTCTACCCACAGCAGGAATCCAAATTGAAATTTATTAGAAACAGGAATGGGGTGCATGGGAGGCTTCTTTCCACCTGGGAAAATACATCACTACAATAACAGAGACCAAATTTTAAAAACATACAGCCTTGACAATAAACATATTCTATGTACATTTAGACCAGCATTTCTGGTGGAATGTACAATCCACTGGTGGTTGTTAAAGGAGGTAGTACAATGTATCTTGGAATCTGGCACATGCTGTTTCTGATTACTTCTTGGACTTCTTATTGAAAGCTTGTAACCCATTAAAGAGAGACAAGCTTTATTACCACACGGGCAATGCTCAACTAAATTATTTCACAAGCAGAACGGTCTCTGCTTGCACAGACAGGACTCCCCCCCCTACCCCCGTGCATGTCCTGCACCCCCCCCATTTTCTCCCAAGGACTGGGGGAACCCCTAAAACAGATTTTGTTGGAGAACACTCTGTTGCATAAGGAAAAATCCTTCCACGGACAGAAGTTCGCCTTAGTGCTACACTGAACTCCACCCGCAGTTTAGATTGAAGGCATGAAAGTTAGGCTGAGGCCAGTCCCAGCTCTACTAGAGTTTTCGGTCCGCAGTGAGACCTACTTTTTTTGGCACAATGCATTTGTATAAATTCATTGTTTTGGGAAAATATAAAATGCCAAAGACTGCAAATCAAGGAGGAGGGTAGAAGAAGTTCATACAATAGGGGAACATACAATGCATGTCCTGAGATAGCAAGGGACGACATGAAATGTGAAAAAGTGTTCTAGCCACCGACTTAGACCAGCCTTTGCCAACTTGGTGCTTTTCAGATGTTTAGGACTGCCATTTCCCATCAGCCTCAGCAATGGTACTGCCTTGGGAAATCACTGTCTGAAACATCTGGAGGACAGGTTGCTGATGAGTGGCCTAAGGCAACATGTGTTTTCTGCACATGTGGATTAGCAGAACCATACAGTATGCGTTGTTTGGTTGTTGTTTTTTAGCTAAGGCTCCTTTTGCTATACAGTACTTGCTCCTTTCTTTCCAGTCTAGAGTAGGGATGGGGAGAAGGTGGGACCACCTAGCACTTGCTGGTTGCTGGGATTCTTGTTAAGCAGGAATGGAGAATGTATGGCCCTCCAGATGTTGCTGGACTACAACTTCCATAAGTCCTTATCATTTGCCATGATCGCTAGGGCTAATGGGAGCTGGAGTCAGACAACATCTGGAAGGCCACAAGATCCTCACCCCTGTTGTAAAGGATAGATAGAAATTGCCCTGAGACAGCAAGGCACTATTTAGCATTTTTAAATAAGAGTGCATTGTCAATGCATTGTACACAATTCAGTTATACCTTCATTATTAAGAGATTTAGAGCACACGATTTTGCTTTGTAAATTTAAACACACAGTAGAAAACCATAGAGGGTTAAAAAAATAAAGCAGTCCCAATAAAACTGAAGTCAGCTCCCACTTCCTTGCGGGAGGATTGTCATGTTGCTCAGCCTGATGCTTCTTGTAATGCCCATAATTGAATTGCCAAAATTCCCCAGCCAGTCATTTTAGCTGTGTCACACAAAATCCTGGATTCAGCTGCATCAGACGGCATTCCTGAACCCCAAATAGAGATGGGGACAGGGAGAGAGTTTTGCTGCTTCTGGGTGGATTAATTGCATTCACTGGAGCCACCATCATTATTATGGACAGAAAGCAAGCACAGTCAGCCATCAACCCAAGCCAGCAGGATCATTCAATGGCATATAACTGTGTAAGGCACTGGTGTTCAAAGAAGAGGCATGCTCTCCAGAATACTTATACATGCTGCAGTGTGGCATAAGGAGCTACAGTCCCAATGGGAGGATCGTGGCTTTGCAGAAATGTCATAGTGCAGAGACTGCAAGCCTAGTCTTTAGGGTAGAAACACACAGAACACACACACACACACACACACACACACACGTGGGGCTACGTATTGGGAACACAGCTAGGCCTGCTCTTGTGTAACATGTCTTGCAGCTACACCTAATGGTGTCATTCACAGGATAAGTCAACTTGGCCAAGGAGAATTTGCTTCTGAGTGGTGATCCATATGCTCCGCATTGGGAAGAGAAGCAAAAAGCAGTTCTGCAGACATTCATGTGTCATCCTCAGTGTTGCTCAAGAACGAAAGGTGGCAAGGTAATTGGCAAGGTAACTGCTAGTTCCTCAGCTCTGCTCGGGGCATTTTGAACATATGTGGTGGCCTTGATCTGCAAAGGGAGAAAAGTAGAAATAGCGCTCTAAGCTTGAGGCTAGGTGGTTGGGCAGGGCATGAAGCGGAAAGGGGTTTCTAATAAGGATTTTAAAAAATAATAATGACACTTGGAGAAATCTCTCTGGTCTATATCAGTCTTATTGGCCTGTAGTGGAAGTGGGGATGAATACTTTCCTAGCCCCCACGCACTGTAAAAGCATTCCCTGCAGCTAAGATTCAGTTCATGCCCAGATAGGATTCGGTGGGTTCTGTGCACAATGCCAGCCATACTTCCTCTTACCAGCACCCCAGGGACTGCCTCTGTGCAGCTGGGGCCAGCATGCAACAGAAAGCTCAGCTTAGCGCAAAGAAGACCAAAAGCATACCCTGCACAGCATGAAATGTCTCCTGTCTCAGTCACCAACACCAAAGCAAGAGAGCTTCATATTTTGAATTGGCAGAGCTCCTTTCCCAAAATGGTCTTGTTCGGCACCCTTCTCCAGTACTGGACCTCCTTCCCGTTACTTAAATTGCATCGTCATTTCCTACATCTAGGGCGGCTTTCTTTAGAGTTCCACACCAAACATAGACAGGAGGTAGGAAAAGATACTTACAGTTCCATGTTTTCCATGGCACCGTCCCTAGTAAAAGAAAGAGAATGTCAATGGGATATATGACAGCTTTCTCAAAGGCTTCCCAGAATGCATGCTAAGCTCCCTCAACCCTAATGTGGGCAAGGGAATTAAAAAGAAAAGTACTATAACCCCCAACTGCTTATACTGGAACCAGATGGCAGGACAGTGCAACCTTTCAGCAGTGCTGCCAATCCCGGGTGCCTGTTGAACGGCAGAAAATCCCATGTCCATCGACCAAGCTCAATGCACCTAAGCACTAGCTAGCATAGCTCCATTATATAGTAAGGCTTCTTACATGTGTTCTGTGGGTCCACTTCTGGCATCACACAGCCAAAGTGGGTGCAAAGAAGTTTAGCCGTAAGGTTAGAATTACGCGCCCTCTGAAATGCTGCCTTAATAGCAAGAATCCTCCCTGGTCATGTGAGCAATTGTTTCTTGACCTTGTCATGGCTCTAGTCTAGTTCATGCCCAGGGTCATGGGGATTTTTTGTTATTGCTTCACACTGCCCAGGCTTGTGCCCTGGAGAGGTCACCTCGATGTCCCTGTCACAGCAGTTTGACTTCACCCACAGAGGCACACTCCATTGTCTCTCAAGACGGATGGATGCCAACAACGACAACAAACCCAGATAACACTGCATGGGTGTGGCTTCCACAGGACCATGTTTTGCCAGGAAGGTTGAAAGCTGTTTCTGAATATAAGCAAGTGGGAAGTCAAAACATTCCCTTTTTCATTTACTAGGGAAGGCAGTTATCACTTTCCCCTAGAGCAGCCTTTCTCAACCTGTGGGTCCCCAGATGTTGTTGAACTACAACTCCCATCACCCCTAGCTAGCAAGGCCAGAGCTCAGGGATGATGGGAGTTGTAGTCCAACAACATCTGGGGACCCACAGGTTGAGAACCGCTGTCCTAGAGGCTTCCCCTGGAGAACCCACTTTTCCATCAGTATCTTAAAAGCAGACACTTTCACAAGAGGGATGGTTGGTTTACAAGAATACCACGGGAGCAGCCCTACACCTGGACTTGCACTTCTAGGTGATGGAACCAACTGGAGGGTAGAGGGCTTAAGGGGTGTCCAAGCCTATAATCAGTGAACAGTACTGGGAGTGGGGGAGGCAGAAGTAAAGCATCTGATCCATGACTATAGGCAGGGTGACAGGCAAAAGTATGACCCATCCTCACGTGTAGACGTCATCCATGTCCATTCTGCGGTAAAACTTGGCAAGCCGAACAGCCAAGATGATGCTCAGCAGCAGAAAGACAGTGCACCAGCCTAGACTGAACCAGAAGGCGTTCTAGGGGGAGAAGAGGGGAAGGCAGCTATCAGTACTCCTGCTGTCTCTCTCCACTTAACTCCCACCCTGCTTGAGCTCATGCAAGGTAAGCCTCGCCTACAGCCTACCTGTGTCTTTTCCATCCATCTCCCCAACGTTTCCCTAGAGCTCCCTTCACATACATCTATACACTTTCCCTAGCCCTGTGCCTGTTCAAGAGCACAGGGATCTGTCCCACGTGCAGATGTCTCCCCAGCTTCTTTCCATGCCCCACCCCAGGCAAGATTCCCAGAGCCACAGCACAGCCTCTGCCTAAGGTAGTTACAATTTCTGTGGCCCCACCACCTACCAGTTACTCCTACATCCTGGACTGCAGTCGCCATCTCTCAACCTACGGACTGCCACCCTGCTGTCCCTTATCCATGCTGGCTCACTGCCACACCCCAGCTACATCTCTCATGTTGACTGCCTCACCAATGAATTGACAACGCAGCTGCAGACCACGGTATTCACACTATCCAGTGCCCAGGCTGCAGGGCCACAGCGGCCCACTTGCTCTTTGATCTGCCAGCAAAGAAGACAAGGAAACATGACCACCAAAGGAAAATTCCTGAGCCCTGCACTCCTTTCCTGGCCAAACACCTTCATCGTGTTGTCATCATGAATGTTGCCAGTGCAGCTAAGCACATGGTAGGAATTGTCCTGGCATTGCCAACCTTGTAACTTCATGCTGTGCTTGCACCCTAGAAGTAAGATGGGCAACGGCAGTACACTTCCCATGAGATCAACTTGATTTTGCTTACATATGCCTCCAGGGCCACCTGTGCATGAGGCTGTAAGACTGGCATGTGAATGCAAGTGGCTGATCGGGAAACTGCAGTTAACTACAGAATGCTGCAGCACAACTGCTGCCAGGAGTCAGGTTCTGTCAGCATATTGGAGTTGCCCTCAGATATTTGCACTGGCTGCTGATGGGCAGGATGACGGGATTCAATGTTACATTGGCTGCTCACACTTGTAGGAAACAGGCAAGTGCTGCCAAGCCAGGAGAAATTAACTCTCACTCATCGGCTGCCATAAGTTCAGCAGGATTCCTCCTTCCTGTTTCGTGAGTGGGGTTGCATGGGCATCTTGCCAAAATGGAGGACCAGGTGTTGCTGTTTGAACCTCCAAAAACTGGACATTCAAAAAGGAGTGTGTGGCTATTTGAAAGCCCTTTGCAAAAGTGCTCCTGACAGTTTTCAGAAGTTCAGGCAGCAGGGCATGGGGACAACTGAGGTTTCGAACTGCAGTATCACCTGGTGTCAAAACTCCGTCCACCTGCCAAAAGTAACCTGTCAAAGATTTGGAAATAAAATTCTGGCCCGCCAAGCAGAAAAGGTTCCCTGCCCCATATCATTTTAGATGTCCATTGCAAACTTACCCAGACATATAACTTAGTTACTCATATTTGTTCTTAAGGTTTTACTGATTTAATCAGTGTTTTAATTACTGTAATTTTCCGTGTATAAGACTAGGGTTTTTTCCTAAAAAATAATGTCAAAAATTAGGGAGCGTCTTATACATGAGGCCATCTCCCCCCATTTTCTTAAATCTGAGTCCTCAAAAATAGGGGGCATCTTATGCATGGGGGCATCTTATAGATGGAAAAATGCAGTATGTTTTATATATACTTGTTTTTTATTGCTTTGCAGATTTCATCTGCATTTTAATTTCAACTTTGTTATGTGCACCGTCTCTAGAGAGTGCTTTGATTAAGCAGTTTATAAATCTGTTAAACCAGTAAATAATAAATAAACTATGCCTAAAAGGTCCAGTAAATTCATGCATAGCCACAGGCAAGCATCCAGCCTGGATGCGAGTATAGCAGAAGTATACAAGCAAGGACAACCAGGCTCCCACCTTGTCATCACTCAGGATTAAGCCCAATCTCCATCAACAGCAGTTGGCATTACTTACGGTACTCTTTGCCCAGTCTATATATGATTCAAATAAACCCAGCAGAGTTTTCACGAAAGCTGAAGTCTCCTAGATGTAAGAAGGTAAGATGGGTGGGTGCAAGTTAGAGGATAGGACAACAGCTTCCAAGCAAGGAAAGGGGTTCAGTTACGGGGCTCCAATCCCCTATCCAAGCTCCATTAATGGTTCCAATAATAGGAAGGGAAATTGGGCTGTCGTATGGGGTACAGGAAAAGGTAATATGGCTATTCAATGCACAATCAGCTGGGGTGTCACATGTCCCTATCTTGGGAGCACTAGCTTTCACTTGTCCTCCTCTCCACTGCATTTCCTGTATTCCCATTTCCCAGAGTTGTTCACTAGCATGTCTGATGTCATAGTTAGAGGCCTATAGGACTTCTGGGGATGAGCCTCCATGTTACATTATGTGGCGATGCACAAATCCAGTCTTAATGATGCCCTCTGTGTACCCCCACCAGGAAATAGGTTGAATGATGAGAAGAAGACTCACGTTTTTGACAATGTCCTGCGCCTGCCACTTCATAAATATCTGAGCATCTTCTATTTTTGACAACGTGGCGTTCGCTGTACCCTGGCAGGACACAGTACTGTCAGGTTCACTCCCTGGCAGAACCAGTCTCATGGGCTGCCCTCACCACCACTTTCCATACAGATCTGAGCAGACCACTGAGCAGAACATCACATAATCCAATGGACATAAGGGAGCAGCACTGGTATATTATCAAAAGGCTGAGACAGGTGTTTTGGTATGCTTTAGTGGGAGTTGCACAACTGCAGCTCTTCAGATGCTGCTGGACTACCACTCTCATCAATCCTAACCATTGGCCATGCTGGTTGGGACTGATGGGAACTGGGAGTCCAACATATGGAGGACTGCAGCTTAGCATTTCATACCCAGCACCATACAGACCCCGAACACACACAAGTATAGTTCTGCCAGTGCCCCATTAACATCTCCTCTGTCCGTCTTTGGGATGCCTACCAACTCTGTCAATCTCCCACAGTCTTCCAGGTTCTGAAACCCCATCCCTACAGAGTCAATGCCAAGGGAAATCTCTGTATCTCCCAATTGGCACCTGTTACCTTGAGTTCTCACATTGTTATGCAAGGAGGCCTGGCGAGATTGTCAGCAGGTTGTACTTCCCCACCCATCCAATATCTAATGGGGTGTCCTTCAGAAAGCATGCCATCAAAGCCCCACCTCCCAGATCACTCCTTCCTCGAACCTTGTCCTGCTTACCGGAATCTGAGGGACAGACTTCTGTAGTTTTCGAATGCTGCTTCTCAGGATGTGCTGAGGACAGAGAAAGCTCATCAGAGGGCACCATCCACTGAGCTGGATGGAATGAGTTGACAGAAGGTGGGACAGATATCAACCATCTTATGGCCTGGTAGGGCAAGAGTCAAAACCGTCCAGAGAGGCCTTGTTCAAGGCGGCACCTGGTCTGGGCCAAAAGGAGGTAAAGGTGTTTGGGGAGAGCAGCACTCACCATCTGAGGAGGAAACGTGTCATTGACCCAATTCTGGAGCTTCCTCAGCCTTCTGGCCTCCAGTTGAAAATCGTTCCGAGCTTTCTCATTAATTGTCTGAAAATATGTTCATAAGCACCACCGTTGTGAAGAGATATTGATAGGTTTTCTGCTGCTTTCACACATACAAGTGGGCACATTTCCAGGAGACAATGTGGGATGCAATTATTTCCCATCTTCGGGGAGGATCTGGGGTTAAATCAGGGCCAGCCTACCTATTAGGCAAGATGAGGTGACTACCTCAGGCAGCAGGATCCACAGGGACAGCCGATTCAGCCTCCAAGGAACACATACCCATGGCTGCTGCCACAGTGGCACTGACGGCTGTGGCACACTGCTTGGGGGCTGGATCTGTCTCTCCTCAACAGTTCCCTGCCCCCCATGCCACCTCTACAGTGACCTCTTGGCAAATAGGAGATGCTGCTGGTCTCGTATCACCCTTAGAGAGGAAATGGTGGGGGCATGATTCAGAACAGGCCCCTTTCCCCCCGCCATGACAGCATTTCATTTCCACTTCAGCTGTTGGGTAAGATTAATTCAATTCTCCCCCTTGTCCCCAATGTAGATCTTCATTCACCCCTACTTCTCTGGCAGGGAGGGTGCCATTTTGTGGTCCGCCTCAGGTGCCAAAATGTCTTGGGCCAGCTCTGGGTTGAAGTGATCCCAAAAAGGCACCTACAGGGCCCCTCCCCCTAGAAAGGGAGCTGGGGGAGAGAAGCACTGCAGAAGAATGGGGATATCCCAATCAAAGCACCACTCACTGTGTTTTCTGCCAATTTATCTAGAACCGCTGCCAATGAAGACAGGTCATGTTTTGTCACAGTCTCATTGATCTGCAAAGAAAGGGACAGAGAGCACACGGTGGGTCAGCTCCTCAAGGATAGCAAGAGACATCGGAGTGAGTAAGGTCAGGGCCCAGGCAGATTAAGTTCGCACACTTCCTAGAATCCGCTTTCCAACTTGCTTTATTTAATTTTGAACCCCTTGATATGTAAGCTATTATTATTTCACATCACACCTCTCGGAAGAGAAAGCTCACCTCATCCCTCCACCTCCAATGATCTGTGAGTCAACAATCAGAGGCTCTTTTCTGAGTGCCCTCACCTACAAAAGGACATGTGGGTGGCTTCCAAAGAGCGTAACTTTTTAGTGACTGTGCTCTAGTTATGGATCTCCCTCCCAAAGGTGATCTGCCTGTCATCTTCGTCGTTGCTTTTAGGCACCAGGCAAATCCTGTCCTGTTTACGTGTTAACTGCTGCTTTTATTTATGTGGAATGGCATGATTTCATTATACAGATGTCTTTGAGATTTTCTTAAACTCAATAACCTGCACAGATTTTGTTGGGGAATGGCTTTCCTTTTGGGCTGCACCCAAAGCCCTTTCCGGACAGTATCCTTTCTCCTGAACAGACTGAGCAGCTGCCAGTAACCTATGCTGACATCATCAACCCAACGACCCTTCCATTGTCGGTTAATCAGAATATCACAGCTGACGGATTCCTTCCTGCAGCAATTCATACCCCAGCAAGCATGAAGGGCATTCATTTTTCTCTGGGGATGGAGCCTACACTACTATTACTGGCAATTATATCATTTTCTAGGCAAGTCACTAGTCCTATTAGGCAAATCTAAACTACTTTGAATGGCCTAACCTTTTTATTTTGTTTAAAAAATGACTCTTTTTCAGATGTGACATATCTCACAAGATACCAGACAATGTCAAACCCCATAAAGATCAATAAAAGAAATCATCTTGTGATAAGCTGTTCCACCCTCTCATCTCACTTGTTTCAGAGCACTGGAAAAATTCAGGTTCAGCCCATCCTTTGAGCCCAGTTCCTGCAGGCGACGCTTCTGCTCATCCTTCAGGAGGTCAGTGGAGCCCAAAGTGATATTTATTTTTTTTAAGGCTGCATCAATATTACCGGTGTACTGTAAGAGCAAAAGAAAAAACAGGCGAGTAGGTGCAGAGTACATAACAATCCAGTCTCCCAGGACCCTTCTCTGGGGTTCTCCAGGTGGCTGAAGATATGCCCCATATCTGGACTTTAAACTATCCCAGAGCATATCTGAGGACACTAATCTTGCTGGTCATTCAATTTTTCTTGTGGATGTCTCAATTCACCTACAGACACTCATCACTGACCTTGCTGGTGTTTAGGATCTCATCCAGAGGGATGACCTCACCCAGGTGAAGGGTGCTCCACAAGGGGGCATTGTTTTCACAGTTCCTGCAAGAGTGAAAACCGAGCTAAGAGACCAGGATACACTGTGCTATGTCAAACATAAACTGGGGAAACAGCATCACCATGCAATCAAGCTTTCCAATCATGTAGTTTAACTCTTACGCCAGGGGGCAGTGGGGTTGCTGGTGACATAAGCTCAGCATGGGGGCAAGAACTGTGGGGAAACAGCAGGACTAAGAAGCACAGCGATCAGGCTGAAAGGTACCTCAGAGAAAGAAAAGCATGATTCAGGCTGTTATTCTAACAAACTCTTGGCAGAATGGAGAAGTTGTGGGTCAGGGAAAGACTTCTCTGCACCAGATTTAAGATTATACAGTCAAATTGGATCCTGAACACCTTGGTACTTGGATGTTTTGGCTCCCAAACGCTGCAAACCCGGAAGCAAGTATTCCAGTTTGCGAACATTCTTTGGAACCCAAACGTCCGATGGGCTTCCACAGCTTCAAGCCGCGCTTTGGTTTCCAAATGTTTTGGAAGTCAAACGGACTTCTGGAGCGGATTCCGTTCAACTTCCAAGGTACGACTGTATTATGAAGCTTCCTGTCTATGCTGGGCAAGGACTTTGGACATGTTATACGTTGAAAGAAAATTATATGAAATTGATGTATCATTGGTATTTAACCCCTAGTAAACTAGCTTGTATAAAACAAGGTCAAATACATGCTGGAAATGTAAGGAAAAAGAGTTCTCTTTCTGTGTTGGTTGTTTGAGAATTGTTTGCAAATTTCAAAATCTGAAAAAACTAAATAATTTTTTTTAAAGACTTCTCTGCACCAGGGCCCCCTGGCATGGCTGTGCATGGTACCCTGACATTGCATGCTGGCAAGTGGGTGGAACTTACTTTTCTCTACTCCCATACACTGCATGCCTGACTCTATCAGGCCTGCAGTTCCCACCCTACTCTCAAGAGTCTCTCTCCCTTTGGGGGAATCTGAGGACCAAAGTCACAGCAGGCAGGAAGCCATGGAGGAATCCAGCCAGCCAGCCACTCACTTGTACAAGCTGGAGAGGTTCACATCAGAACTCTTCAAATGCAAGAGCCGTGTCAAGTTGAATTCAGGAAACAACCCTGGTGTGTCCAGAAACTAGAAGAAAATAAAGAGTCATTAATTAGATTCTTAGCTTCTCAACTCAAAACAACATCTTCAGTATTTCCCTCTCCCTGCGATTTCCTCCTCTGCAGAATGTGGGGTTGCCTGGCTGTCTCATGCCTACTTCAGCAATTTCCATGCCAAAATGATAATGATTGACAAGGGGGAGAGATGGGATCCCAGGATTAGAATCTAAGGTTACAGGGTGTGGGTTCTGGTCTGGTGTTAAGGGAAACCATGACTCACTTCTCTCCTCGCCCACATTATTTCCCCCTTTGTTCCACTGCAGATGGCACTCAGCAGTATCAAAGAATACTAATGGTAGCCCAAGGGACTTACCTGAAGGAGATGCCCATCGGCCCATGGCCGACACACCACTGTGTACATACTTCCCCCAATTAAAAATGTCAGTAGAACCAGCAGCATCAGCAGCCATGAAAATATGAAGCTGAACCCAACGCTCCTGTCAGAGAAGGGAAAACATGATTGGAGGCCTGGGATTTTGCTGGATGGATGTGAAGAGCAGCTGTCGGAGCCCTTGCACATTTGCCCCAGGCAACCCTTCCATTCATTCTGATACACAATCCAGCAGATAAACATAAGGAACAGCCAGAAGTCCATGGGAAAGTCCAGGACAAGGTCAGGGTGCCAAAATACTCAGGGGGCATGGCTCTGCACTGCCAGTAATGCTGCATTTCTGGATACTTAAGGATATTCCCACCCTAGCTTTCTCTAGTAGGAGCCTGTACACAAAACAGATTGTGTATGGGAAACCCTCTATAGAATAGCTCCCAGAGAGCTGGGGAATCAGGCAACCAGCAATACATGTAAAGATCTACAAGACGCCTCCTGAGTCCTGCCACCCATGCTCTCACATTTGCTATGCCATAACACAGCTTGGCAACATTTAGCAATCATCAGGAAGGGTAATAAAGGTACAGGCCAGAGCTCTGTAACAGAACATGAGTTTTGCATGCAGAAGGTTCCAGGATTAATCCCTGGCAACTCCAAGTAGGGCTTGGAAGGACTTCTAGCTGAAACTTTGGAAAGCCACTGCCAGTCAGCATTGATGGTACTGTGCCAGATGAACCAAGGGCCTGACATGGGATGCAGCAGCAGCTTCCTACATTCCTTTGACTTATTGGGTGACTCTCTGTCATGAGATGGGAGAAGGTGCAAAGTCTCTTACGCCATGAGGAGGCCTCCACCAGTGTTTGCGAGGCAGCCCCGTTTGGTAGGCATCTCTCGCGGGTTTAGCCCAAGTGCCCCAAACAACAGGCCCAGCACGTTGAATACAATGATCACGAGCACCAGAGAGCAGAGGCAAAGGCCAGCAATCCACCTAAAATAAGGAAAAGGAAAACAGTTAAGACTCCGACAGAAGGCAATGACTAAGGAAGGAGTCAAAACCCTAGTAATGGGTTTGATCTCTGCTAAAAACCAGCATCAGCAAGACTATACTCTGCTGGCATGTGCATCAAAGCCCTGGCAACAATAAGAAGCAAATTAGAAAACATGAGATCCCATCCAAGCCTAGGTTATGAACAATGGTATAGCACTGAAGAAAAACAAGTGCTATCTGGGCCAATTAACCAAATCGGAAGACAAGGATTTTAACTTTCATACTACTGCAGATTAGATGTGGTGCCCTGTCCAAAAATGCTGTGGGAAACCATCAGTGTGACATGAAACTGCACATCAGAGGCTTCCAAAATACTGGCCAGAAAGCTTTTAGCCCTTCGTTTAGGCTACCATTCTCATTCCATTTTCCATAGCTGCCATTTTGATAACATATGACCACTCATGGTCAGGAGACCAACATTTCATCCAACACATGACCTAGTGTGGCTTAAGCTAACCTAAGGGATTCCGCCAGCTTACAATACTCTGAGAACACTTTAATTCATACCTGTAACTATCATAGGTGACAATATCTGGCTCATAGGTACTCGCCCAACTGACAACATCTGTCATGGACTGAGAGATATTCCCCATTCTGCTCAGTGTGGAAAAGTTGCTACGGCTATCTTCAATCGCTTGCTCAACATCACGGAGGCGAGCCTCTCCTTCTGCAAGGACCAAAAGATACACAGATAAACAAATATACTTTGTTCACTATGGCAGAGAGCATCTTACCACAGGGCAGCCACCTGCTATGTGTTCCGGATATGTAGTATTTTATGCCCAATTGCCTATTAGCTCTCCGAGGAAGAACCATTCACATACCTCAGCAAATCTCATGCCTCCTTCATTTCTGGCTACCCATCCTTCATTCAGTTCAAGTTAAGGAGGACAAAATAGGTAGGACAAGGAAAGCTGTGGATTGGGAGAAGGAAACATCCAGCTCCACTGAGCCCAAGGCCGTCTTACCCATAGGCGCTAGGGGTGCAGGGCACCTGGGTGCCGGGCTCTCAGGGGCACCAGGCTGAGAGTCCAGGACCCGAGAGCTGAGTCCGAGGAAGAACCCGTCCATCAGTCGGGGCACTGCGGTGGGCTCTTCTGCTGCAGGTGGCTCTGCACCACAAGTCCAGTGAGATGCTGAGGTGGGCAGCCAGCTCTGCCCTCCTGCGCCTCTGGGACTAGGCAACCGGGGGGGGGGACGACACACCGGGCAGATCTTTGTACCCAGTGCCACATATGCTTAAGACAATCCTGACTGAGCCCCACTGATGCCTAATAAATGGAGGAGCTAGCAAGAATGTGCAGACTAGCCATGTCCTCTAAACAACAGTGTGTATGTGGCATTGGTCCATAGGAGGACATATGTTTTAAAAATGTTTTGGGACATCTTGTAGCTCAGTGATAAGAGTGAATGCATGTCCAAGGTCCTAGACTGAATTCCTTAGCATCTCCAATTAAGGGATCTCAAGTGGAATTTGTAGAACTACCGTGAATCAGAGTAGACAGTGCTGGGCTGGACAGACCATTGATTTGACTCTGTAGAACAAGAGCTTCATATGTTCACATGTGATTAACTCACACCTATCACTCCATGCATCCACAGCAGGTAGCTGTAACTGGAGCTTCAGGACAGGAAATGCCATGTTGCTTGAACATGCACATGTGAGAAACTGTTGGGTGTGAACTGCAATTACTATGTAGAAGGTATATTTGTAGAATAACAATTTCTAAACAAAGAAAAGGCTGCACTATTGCATAACTGTAAACAGTTATATTGAATGACTGAGAGCCGAGACTTGACTAAATTCCACATATTAATGTGAACTGATCAAAGAGATATTTGGCAGGTGGCCTCTAGTTTCTGAGGACATTATAAGTGTAACCATAGCCTTTCAACTGGTTCTTGAAATGAGAATACACACACCTTTATCTATCTGCTGAAACTACTTACCAGACACCACTTTTTTTGTTTGTTCAGACACCTTCTTTGGAATATCAGCCAGAACTTTTCTTGCCTGCCAGTGCCAGAACCCAGAATAAAGACATATGCAGATGGAAACAAAAGACAAACAACGCAGAGATCTCAGACTCACATATGCTCTTATAGTGTTGAACAAAGGGCAAAGCAATGCGAATCTAAAAGGCATTGCAATATGTGCTGATTCCAAAGAGGAAGTGGGCTAACAATACCTTCTGAGGATGGGATACAGGCATTGATGGTTTGAGAGATCAGGGGAGCCCTATGGCCCAAGGCTGTGATTTATGATGCTAGGCTCAGTCTGTGGTTCTGCTCCTACTGCACAGCCTCTCCTAGACAGGCCGTCCCTGGCACACTGCCACCTGGCATGGGCACTCAGAAAGCCTGCTCTGTGTGGCACACTCTGATTGCGGAGGAGAGAGAAAAGATGGACAGAGGGAAGGATGTTACCTTTGCAATGGTGTCCTGAGGGTTTGAGTCTGTCAGATTGGTCAACAGCTGGAGTGGGCGGCTGACATCCGGAACCTGTGGGAACAGATAAAGGGACAGTTTATCTATCTATAAGAAATTAAAGTGATGATGCATTGTGTTCTGGGAGGGGTAGGAATCTTTGTGTTTCACTCAAATGTTTACACTGACACAGGTAAGAGCAACGTAGCATCCACTGAGACGTTTGTATGTTTACATGCTGGCAAGACCAGACAAACACATCCATGGGCATCTTGTAGACACGCTCCAACACTGTAGCCAGGCCTCAGCTGAGATTCCACCCTGACATCTATTGCACCACCTGACACTGGCTTTAGCCTCTGTCTCAGTAGTGTCACTCAATTAGCTAAGCCCACTTATCCTGAAAGTGGTGCTTCTTCCCATGTTCTCCAAAAACCCACCATCCCTTTCCCAAGGTCTCTGCACTCCAACCCCATTTTACCGCACTGAGATTGGCCCCAGGCTCCAGGTTCCACATTGGGACACCCTTGCAAGGTTCACCGCAGTCTTTCAAAGTCTGGTTGATATCAGTGCTCAAGGCGGTCAGGTTTTGGCTCAGCTGTTCCTGAAGGTCCCGCAAGTGATTTGTTGACTCATTGACTGCCCGGAGCTCTTTTTCCACAGAGCTAGTCACTGCAATGGACAGAGAAAAAGAGTGAGGAGGAACTTTGCAATCTCCACCCCGATGACAGATAGTTTTTAGCACAAGGGAATCAAGTGGTGCATAAGTTTTATGAAATAAAATAAAACGAAATAAATAAATTTGTGTACTCCACCCATCTGAGTTTGTTGCCCCAGCCACTCTGGGTGGCTTCTAACAGAATAAATAAGAACACAACAGAACACCACACACTGAAAGCTTCCTGGGCTGCCTTCAGATGTCTACGGAAGGTCAAATAATTATTTATCTCTTTGACATCTGACAGGATGGCGTTCCACAGGGTAGGGTCCACTACCAAGAAGGCCCTTTCTGCCTGGTTCCCTGTAACCTCACAGGGAGGGAACCACCAGAAGGCCCTCAGAGCTGGACCTCAATGAACAAATCAAATGCAATTTATTTCTTTTGTAAAATTTATATGGCACTTGAATGTAAAAAGAAAGAAACCTCAAATCAGTTAACAAAGATATAAAACAATGGAATTATCAGTAAAATATATATATTAAAATCAACAATAAGCTAAAAACCAGAGTAAAACCCCTGTCAACATTCGACGTATCTGGATAGGCTTGCCTAAACAAAAATGTTTTTTAGCAGGTGCCAAAAAGAGCACAATGTAGGCACCTGCCTGATGTCAATAGGCAAGGAGTTCTGAAGTGTGGGGCTGCCACACTACAAGATCCATTTCTTACAAACGCAGAACAAATACTATACAGGACCTATAACATTGCCAGTTCCACAGATTGAAGCAGTCACATAAAGAGGGGTAAAAACATAAACAAAACAAAACAATGCTTTAAACAAACAAATCAAAGTCAGGACAATGAACTACAGCAATGAGCACTTTTCTCCCAAGCAGGGGCTGGCTATCCTTTGGCCCTCCAGAAGTTGCTGGACTACAGTTCCCATCAGCCCTGATCATTAGCCATGCTGGCTGTGGCTGATGGGAGTTGGAGTCCCAACAACATCTGGAGGGCCAAAAATTCCTGACCCATGCTCTAAACCTTCTTTGTCCTCTGAGCACCTTTGCCTCGCCCTGTGCCACAGTTAAAGAGACACACTTTCTGGGCCTCCATCTCTACTACTAGATCCCACAACACACTCTTCGTTAGACAGTAGGTCAGTACCATTGAGAAGATGTTCAGCATCGTCCAGTGCTTCGTTTACTCGTCCACCTATTTGATTCTTGATCTTGTCTCCCAAAGTCTGCCCAATCTCTGCAGAAAAAACATCAGAACAAGAGGATCAAGAAGAATGCTTCCCACTATTATGTCACATACCAAATGCCAGAAAAAAATGGTTTATGGACATTGAGATCTCCTTGAATGATAAAGGGATAATGGGCAATGCTTTGGGTATAAACCAACGTTCTACAGTTTAAGTAGGAGCAGAACTCAGTGATGACTGTGTGGATGAAGCAGGCCACAAGGGTATAGGAAGGAATTCTGCAGATGAGCACTGAACTTCTGGGGCAGACTTCTAATTCTCAGGAAATGCTGGGTCTGTATGCAGCTGTCTTGTGTGGTAGAGCGCTGAGCTTCAGGTGAACATCTTCTTAGTGAAGACCCTTCCAGTACTGGTCTGACTCTACCCACCCTGGCTGGACACTGTATCTTCCTGAGCAAGAAGAAATATAAAAGGCTACCCATTTCAGCTGAGCCTTGCTTGAGCAACGAAGTCTTCCTGAGCACTGGTATGTTCCCTGAATCCTTCATTCTTCTTTCTTCATGCCAGCTAGTTTGTCCTCCATTTCTGACTCCCAAACTCTTGGTTTGTCCTCCAGTTGTGGCCTGCTCTTTGACCCTGACTCCTGGCTTGCTCCTTGACTACACCTCCACCAATGAGACTGGGTAATTTCAGTTGATTTCCAAGCTTGAGGCCTGCTTTTTTTGCCTCCCTCACTCAAGATTTAGACAACACAGACTGTGGCCAGTGGCAGAGACTCACCTTGCAGGCTCTGATTGGCTTGCTTCAGTGGCACCGAACTGGAGTCAATGATGTCATTAATCTCCTGTGAAGAACCAGGAAAGTGATGAAATACAGTATTCTCTGCAGGGGAGGGGGCAGCAAGCAGGATCAAGATCCTGAACATATTTATGGTCATGGATATTAAATTATAAAGGCAATAGCATGATGTGCATTGCTTGAACACAGAGGACTCAAAAGTGCCCATTGTACTGAAGTGCATTGCTTCCGCATTGTCCTACTCCCCAGTTTTACACCAATCCAGTTGAAAAGGTTTCTTTGAACTCCTGAATCACTGCCATTTAGAATACATCTTTCCACAATACTTAATTGATGTTTGATTTTTTAAATATATATGTTTTCTATGAAATAGCATTATATAAATAGCCTAAATAAATACATATTGTGTAGAAAGCCTACAAAATAAGCCCGAAAGACTACCATCCTGTGTACACATTACTGGGAAATCAGTCCCCTTTGAGCACCAATTTTGACGTAAACAGACTTATGTTTGTCCTGCAAAAATATATGTGGAACTTCATGATGGATCACAGCTTAAAAGTAAGTGTTCACAAGTGTCTTCCACCATAGAGGCAAATACTATTTGCAAAAAAATTGAGGAACCGAACATACAAAATTGACTACCATCTAATTCTGCAGGTGAAGAGACACTGAAGCCACAGCCAACCCAACATTTTGTGGACTGGGAGCACAACTGCAGTTATTTTACCTCCAGGTATGGTGGGTGTTTCTATCCAGACCAGCTCCTGCCAATCCCCATGGTTAAGCATGGGTTAAAAAGATATTTCAGGCACATGTAGGTTTTACAAATGATTTCCCAAAGAACAATTTAATTCACTATTCAGAAACAGCTCTAAGAAGTTAGCATGGCATGATATACTGGTCCCTGTGTTTCTTGTGGGAGCTGCCTTCAGTGGGAGGTACCATTAAACCAATAAACCTTGGTAAACAATGTAGCTCAGCACCATTTTGATAATTCTTCTGTGTTAACAGCAAAGCATGTTTGTGCCTTCCAGTACTATGAACAGTTTGTGCTGCTGTTTAAACGAGTATATTTTTATATCCTTATCAAAGCAGATATGGAAAACAGGTGCCTGAGAAGGCACTGAAGTCCAGAACTACTAAGATGACTCCTGTAGCCCTGTCATGATCCCAGAATTCACCTTGTACCTGTGCTTGAAAAGCCATGGACCTCTATTCCTGGCACAGGATTCTTCTTCAGGTATCATTTGATCCAGTTTCCCTTGCTATCTGATAGTGGCTAAGTAGTTTGCCATGGCCACTGAAGTGTTGAAAGTGCAGATTTAGGGCATGTCAGTGGGATAATGGCCGCTAAACAGTGCAATGATGCTCATAAGAAGTCGATCATTGGAGGTTGGAGGTAGGGATACAGAGGTGCATTTCTGGGGAACAGGGCAAGGCATATGGAGGCTGGTGTAGGAAACAAGCAGCAAGAGGAAGAAGAACACCTGACTTTGTAGGCAGGGCAGTAGAAGCGATCATACATGGAGGATAGGAGGACAATACAAAAGACACCTGCCTGCAGAAAGGAAGCAGGGGAAGGTGCATAATACAGCTTATAGACTATATACCTTAGGGATAGAGTTCAGGAACATGAACAGGTTGTCCATCGTATTGTTAAAAGTGATGAAGCCTCCACTGATTCCCTGTGATATCTGACGGTTGCTGACATACGCACAAATATCCCCAGCCCTGCAGTGAAGGAAGCAGGCAGAGTTGAGAAGACAACTCTTCATACTGAAGTTGCTTCTCCTTTTCCTCAAAGAGGAAAAGCTAGTAATATCATGCAACCAGTCAAAAAACATAACAATGGGTACCAACAAAGTTGTGACTTATTTATGAAGTGCCTTGATTGACATTGTGCCATTTTGGGGGGAGCAAATGGGGGGATACAGTGTAAGCAATGTGAGCAGGTAATGAGAGCCAGTGTGGTGTAGTGGTTAAGAGCGGTAGATTCGTAATCTGGGGAACCGGGTTCGCGTCTCTGCTCCTCCACATGCAGCTGCTGGGTGACCTTGGGCTAGTCACACTTCTCTGAAGTCTCTCAGCCCCACTCACCTCACAGAGTGTTTGTTGTGGGGGAGGAAGGGAAGGGGAGGAAGGAAAAGGAGAATATTAGTCATTTTGAGACTCCTTCGGGCTGCTGATTCTTCTAGACCTGTCAGCAGCCTTCGACATGGTCGATCATGAACTCCTGGACCACCGCCTTGCTGACGTGGGGATCCAGGGCACAGTCCTTCAATGGCTGCACTCGTTTCTCTCTGGTCAGGGACAGAGGGTAGCGCTTGGGGGGGAATTGTCATCGCGCCACTCCTTGGTGTGTGGAGTGCCTCAGGGTGCGATTCTCTCCCCGATGCTTTTTAACATCTTTATGCGCCCCCTCGCCCAGCTTGTCCGGAGTTTTGGGTTGGGTTGCCATCAGTATGCCGATGACACCCAACTCTATCTGTTGATGGATGGCCATCCTGACTCGGCCCCAGACACACTGACCAGATGTCTGGAAGCTGTGGCTGGATGGTTACGTGGGAGCCGGTTGAAGTTAAATCCTTCGAAGACAGAGGTCCTCTGGCTGGGACGGGACGATATGGGATTGAGGGGGCAACTCCCATCTCTTGCGGGGGTGCAATTAGTGCCAGCACCGTCCGTTAAGAGTTTGGGTGTAATCTTCGATACCTCCCTCTCCATGGAGGCGCAGATTACAGCTATAACAAAGGCGGCATTTTTTTTCATCTCCGCCAAGCTAAGCAGTTGGCTCCTTATCTCTCTCGCCCTGACCTAGCCACTGTGATCCACGCAACGGTCACCTCCAGACTGGATTATTGTAACTCGCTCTACGTGGGGCTGCCCTTGAGACTGACCCAGAAACTCCAGCGGGTGCAGAATGCCACGGCAAGACTCCTTATGGGGTCTTCGCTGCGACATCACATTCATCCGGTACTATACCAGCTGCACTGGCTCCCGGTGGAGTACAGGATCAGGTTTAAGGTGCTGGTTTTAACCTTTAAAGCCCTATACGGCCTAGGACCCTCGTACCTACGGGACCGCCTCTCCTGGTATGTCCCACAGAGGAACTTACAGTCTGCAAATAAAAACATCCTGAAGGTCCCAGACCTCAGAGAGGTTAGGCTGGCCTCAACTAGAGCCAGGGCTTTCTCGGCTGCGGCTCCAATCTGGTGGAACGCTCTGTCACAAGAGACTAGGGCCCTGCGTGACCTGACATCTTTCCGCAGGGCCTGCAAGACAGAGCTGTTCCACCAGACCTTTGGTCAGAGCGCAGCCTGACTCCCTCCTCTGGCAATCTGCACAGAATTTTGCTTAACGGTTGCCATCAATTTGATTTTAATTAATTTTTATAATGAAATGTTTTTAGAATGTTGGATTATTTGATTGTTGTTAGCCGCCCTGAGCCCGGCTTCGGCTGGGGAGGGCGGGGTATAAATAAAATTTATTTATTTATATATTATAATGATAAAGCGGGATATCAAATCCAAACTCTTCTTCTTCTTCTCTATACCTACTTGTACCCCCCAAAGGCAGCAGTAAAACTGCAGCATGTGACTTGCATGTCTGTGTGATTCGTCTCCAACTATTTACTCTGTAGCACCCACTCTGTGCTTGCAACACATTGTAATCTTGAATGTATAGGTTGATTTTGGGGGTGCCTGGTGGATGCACTCCCCTTGTCCCTGGTCAGAGGTTAATCCAGGTCGCTTTTAGATCCATTCCAACTTTATGATACTGAAATAATTCAGCCCTTCATAGGCACCCTGGGTTCCCTCGGGTCTGCAAGAACCTCCGTAGAACTAGTGCAAGGACAAATGGTGCAGCAAGGGCTCTGGCAGTTGCTTGTGCCTGTGGTGACATGCTCCAGAGTAAAAGCCAGCCATGCTCTGGTTCCCAGGCAGCCAGCCATGCCACAGAAGGCTCCTGGGAGTCTCCCTTCACACATTTATGCTCATGTGCCTCAAGGTGTTCTGGCAGAAAATTAGTGACCATCTGCTCAGACTTGAACCATGTGCTGAATTGATAGGAACAGTGATGCTGGAGGTCAAGTCTGACTGGAAATAGTGTCATTCATCATTATCCGTGGACTCCAATGTATCTCTGTGGTTGTTCAATGAGGAGATATACTTACTTGAGCACTGGCAAGAATTAAGGCCTACTTTGATCATTCTGCACTGCTAAACATCTCTAGTGGCTGATCTCCCAGCTCCCCAAAGGTTTGTAAACTCAATCACTGCTGCCAGAGCTACTAACCTCAACTTTTCATTTCACACAATAGAAGTAGCTTACACGCACAATGCAATTTCCTGTTGGGCCTCCCTGCAGGGACCATCCCATCCTCCCTCAGGCTCCAGGAAGCCATTCCTTTGCACAAGACCATCATAAAAGGCTGTGGCCAGACTTAAAAGTGATTCCAAGTAGACAAATAAATTGTCTCATTTAAACTAGACCTGCAGCCACTATGTGTACAACATCAGCACATAAGAGAAGTGCCCACTTGGCCTACAAACAGTGTACATGCAGGTGAGACAAGCCAGTTCATATCAGACAGCTAAGCAGCTGCACCTTGCTTGAAATTGGGTCCGAATGGCAGTAGCTGTATAGTTGGGGGCTGCTCCATCACCTGACCTCCCTTCCAGCTGAGTTACCAGGATGGAAGGTGAGAGGTAAGGTCAGCATGTTGCAAGCATGCTGGCAGGAGCGCCAGATTGGCTCCACTGGTGCATTTGCACAGCACCAACCTCATCCCTCAAGGGACACGGGTGGCGCTGTGGGTTAAACCACAGAGCCTAGGACTTGCCGATCAGAAGGTCGGCGGTTCGAATCCCCGCAATGGGGTGAGCTCCCATTGCTCAGTCCCTGCTCCTGCCAACCTAGCAGTTTGAAAGCACATCAAAGTGCAAGTAGATAAATGGGTACCACTCTGGCAGGAAGGTAAACAGCGTTTCCGTGCGCTGCTCTGGTTTGCCAGAAGCAGCTTAGTCATGCTGGCCACATGACCTGGAAGCTGTACGCCGGCTCCCTCGGCCAGTAAAGCGAGATGAGCACCGCAACCCCAGAGTCAGTCACGACTGGACCTAATGATCAGGGGTCCCTTTACCTTTACCTTTAACCTCATCCCTCAGCCACTCTGTTGCAGTATTCTGCACTGACTCAGCCAGAGGGAAGTCAGGTGAGCAGCACAGCCTCACCATGCTGTCCACTATGCCTGAACAGGCAACATACACAGACTGGAATAAACTCCTTGCTGAACTGGTCACAGCAATAACCCACTCCTGCCCTGTTCGTTGGTGCTCAGTATATTACTCAACTCACACGAGAATGGTAGAGACAGCTAGCAGGAATGCAAATAACGTCCGCCTCTTGCAATTGGTGTTTTTCGTCTGCTTCTGGTACATGGAGCCGCCGCAGTGTCCACAGCAGCGGCAGCAGCAGAAGAACAAACCCACCAGGGGCACAAGGATGATGAAAAGAAGACCAATGACAAGGCAAACGAGGAAGCCTGCTTGGTATACAAACATCTAGAGATGGGGAGGGGAGGAGAGAAGAAAACAAACAGACACAGTAGTCAGCTAGTATGATCATTCAAAGACGCTGACACCTGCCTGCCCCAAAATAAAAGGGTGAAGGGCTCAGCACAGGGTGGTCCCCAGGAGTCCACTGATGGTTCTTCTTCAAAAACAATCTGGATTTATTAGAATGTTTTCTTGGCCATGTACTTAACATGAAGTTTGTTATTCTGGAGTCCACTTTGCTCATTTAGAGGTAGTGAGCTAGTCACATGTACCAGGGCTTACAGGCTTCTACCCCTGCTCCTGCATTCCTGGCAAGGATCAGGCTGCTCTTGTTAGTCATCAGGGTATATATGTACTTGCACAGGGCACTGCATTCTTGCACACGGGCTTCAAAAGTTCCCACCGAGAGTCACACATAATCACAGGTCCAGTAATCCCTATGAACAATGTGGCTGTGGATACTCAGACCTCAGAAGGCCTTCCCTCCTTAGCCTTCCAGGATAATGTAAACAGCGCATGCTAGCACCAAAAGTGTACTGGGAAGGCATGGCACTGTCTAGGCAAGCTTGACCTAGTCTGATCCTCCAAACCAGGTTTTTTTTCTGGACTTCTTCCCTAGCATTCTCCTTCCAATGCTACAGCTGATCTTAATTTCACTCTCCTGAAAGAGGGGTCATCATGCATCCCTGAGTCCCTATCAGAATCTTTACTGGGTTTAAGTGTCAACCTTTTGGTGTTTGCTGAGCCTACCACACCAACATTTCCTTTTCATCCCTGCCCAGGTTCACCAACTGCCACCCACTAGCCTCTGAGTTCCATGACCCAATACAAAAAATAAATAAATCACCTCTTTATACGCTGCTGGGTCTGTGAAATTAACCTGGCACTGGATCAGGCGAGTCAGAAGATCTGAGGAGAAGAACAGAGGGGTCAGCAGTGGCGGGGAGGGGGAAGAGGGAATATACCATCACCTACATTATTGGACATTTGTGCATCACTCAACACTGAGATCTCTTTCGAAATTCCTACCCGTAGCCTACGTTACCAGGATGAGACCCTATTTTCTCCAGCTGTCCTTCTCTAAAGCTCTCCTGCTATAACCCGTTTGAATGACTCTATGCACATCACATATGAAATTTCTTTCTCTCTTTTTATTTTGTGCCACGTGCTATAGTGCTCAATAAACATTATGCGATAGAAAAGAAACTCCCCCCCCCTTTGCAGCCCAAGTTAAGCAATACCCCACTTTACCACTAAGGGGTGCCATACTGTATGCTTAGCAAACATGGCCTCTGCGCTTCAACAGCTCTGAAGAGAAAATGCTGTGTCCTGGGAACTGCAGAAAACAGACCAGACCTTCAGGCTTGTGAAGTTTACTTGGTTTTAACTGGAACCCTGAGATCCATCACCCAGAGCCTAGTGCAAAATACATGTGCTTAGCATTAAATAATTCTGAGCCTATGTTCCTTCCACACAAAAATTCACACCAAGCTTGTTTCATTTTGACAATATAATTTGGAGAAAAGGGATCGTTTTGCTGCCACAAACAATTGGCAATCAGAAACCCTTGCTGATCTACTGCAAATCACTCAAAGATCTACCAGTAAAGCTAGATCTGTCTTCTGCCCACTCTGATCTAGCAGGTAAAAATATAAGCACCTAAGATGAGCCTCGCTAAACCAGGCCAATGGCCCACCTATGTATTCTTCTCCCACTACTGAGCAGCTGGTTCTAGCCTGTAAACATATGGGACTGAGAATATCAGTTTCTCCAGGTTTTAGGTAAAACTAGCAGGCTTGAAGGGACGTGGGTGGTGCTGTGGTCTAAACCACCTGTAGTGACTTTGGGTGGTATTCAACTGTAGTGACTTTGGGTGGTATTTACCTACAGAAATGAACAAATGTGACTAAGTAAGGTTCATTCACTTCAACGGGTCTACCCTGAGTAAAACTTTGTTGAATGCCTCCCTTTGTTGTGCAAGGAGGGAAGTTGGGTGATCACCACCTAGCAGGTACGACTCATCATTGTACACAATCAGATTTAAAACCCAGGAAAAAGAAAAATGCACTGACAGTAAATTGAGATGTGATTCACAGAATTACATAAACACAAATAAGCAGTGTTGAGCCTCGAAGGCTGGAGACGAAAGACTATGGGGCTATAACACCAGGATATGATCTAACTAATAGTCTGCAGGGTAGCAATACTGAACGGGAAGTTCCTGCATTAACAAAAGTTGTGGCCGGCGGTGGGGGGGGGGGATTAACAGAAGCACTTTTCCTGTGCAACTGAAACACATCGACTAGTTCTGGTGCTTTCATTCTAAAGTTGCGAGGAGTTTTCAAGAAGAACAAGATGTTAAAAAGCACTGGAAAGCACAGAAACATCAAAAAGCAAGTCAGAGTCCATTTTATGCTGAATATTTATCTAAATATAGCAAGAAGTATGCCAAGGCTCAGGTCTGGCTGAGGACAAGCTGACTGACTGGAAACTGGACGCGTGTGGCGCTGTGGGTTAAACCACAGAGCCTAGGACTTGCTGATCAGAGGGTTGGCGGTTTGAATCCCCACGACAGGGTGAGCTCCCGTTGCTCGGTCCCTGCTCCTGCCAACCTAGCAGTTCGAAAGCACATCAAAAGTGCAAGTAGATAAATAGGTACCGCTCCGGTGGGAAGGTAAACGGCATTTCCGTGCGCTGCTCTGGTTCACCAGAAGCGGCTTAGTCATGCTGGCCACATGACCCGGAAGCTGTACGCTGGCTCCCTCAGCCAATAAAGCGAGATGAGCGCCGCAACCTCAGAGTCGGTCACGACTGGACCTAATGGTCAGGGGTCCCTTTACCTTTACCTTATGCCAAGGCTCAGGTCTGGCTGAGGACAAGCTGACGGACTGGAAACTGGAATCCCTATTGACAGTATGGAGTGGTATGGAGACAGGAGAGGAGATGGAGAAAGAGTCTCTGCCACATGTCCAATACAAAGCAGTGTGTGCAGGCCTCACACCAGAGAGGGTCAGGAAGCTTTTCTCTTCATTGGATAGAATGGCCTTGTAAATGTGTGCAAACAACCAGACCACGGAGCAGACTTAGAAAGTTAAATCGGAGCCAAGGCCTGCATGCACAGGACACACACAGACACACAGACACGCACACACACACACACACACACACAATGCCCAGGGCTCCGTTTTGGAGTGTGTAAAATAACAACAAAGCATAGGGATGCCTCCAGGGAGGAAAGCACAGTGAGCTTCAAAGACCTTACTCTCTGCCTCTCATAGCTGAGGATACTTTCCAAGACTGTTTAACATTTTATACTAATCGTTCAGCATTTGAGTGCATGATGCAGTGTCCATTAGCTGTTGCTGCAAAGAGGCAAGCAAACTGGACTCTACTAACCAGGCAGGCTGCCGGCTACCAGTGATGGACCAGTGCCCATAAGGATGACCTCAAGGGATAGGAACCCTTTTGGTTTCTTCCCTTAGGGGAAACGTTAGGGGAGCAAAGTATGCACCCCCCATGAAAGTATCAGATAGATGATGAAAGGCCCCTGAGAGAGAGGCAGGGAAGTGAAGATATCCCAGGGTGAAAACGGGAAGAAAGGGAAGGTGGGATTAAGAGCTAGTTCTGTATACAGAAAAGTATGTGCATTTGTACACTATTTCTGCACTTTAGATATCCTGCAGGTTTCCCCCTCCCATATGTTCTTAGATATGCGCTATGTTCTATAGTTGTACCTGAGATTAGTAGGCAATAACTCCGTTGAGTTGTGATATTCACTGCTGGGAAGACATTGTGTATAATTTGACATTACTGCTTAGTATGTCTTGCTCATAAAGTATTATGTACCATTATATATTCTCTACTACAATTCATAATACGCAATAATTGGTATGTATAAAAACTTTTTTTTAATTGTATGGATATTTAGTAACGTATTGACATATATTGCTTATTATGTTCTATACTGTAAATCACCCTGTGGTCATTTGATAAAGGGCAGTATATAAATTAATAAATAAATGTAAAAATAAATAAATAAACTGCTACTAAGAAAATTCAGCACGCAACCCTTCTTGAGAAACTGGGGGGATGGGCATGGCATTCAGTTTGGCTCTCTGCTAGGCTTGAACCCCAGTTCCTCTGACTCCAAGAAAGTACAGGCTGTAGCCATCTTAGAAAATATGACTGTGATTAAATCATCAGAACATCAATAAATGGCACAGTATTCTTAGCAGTATTGCAACAAAGGCAGCGATTTTTAGCCCTCATGCCAGAGAAGCTGGGAAATGCAACCACAAAAATAAAGAAACCACATCATAAAAGAACATAAAAGGTCAAAATGTGTAAACCCTGACTCATGATATTTGAACGCCCAGAGTGGACAATGGCCCCACACAACTTGAGGACGTGGCTCTGAACCAAGCCTTTGAAAACTTTATAATGCTTACTGTGGACCCATGTGGATTTCGGAAGAGAAAATTGCAACAAGAGGTGCTGTCATCCAGGACTCTGTGGCACAGTTCACACCTGTGAGCCGGGCTCCTGGTTTATTCCTCCCAGACAAGCCACGAGTGGTAAGCCACAGAACAAGCCTTGGCTGCAGCTCGTGGCTTTTCTGGATTGAGACAAACTGGGAGGTTCAGATGTAACCCTAAGCCAAACCATAGCTTGCAGCAGGAAGGCAGAAAGAGCAAAGCAGCTTGCACTTTTCTTTCCAGTAACCCGAATGTTTGCTCATCTGTGCCAAGCCACTATTTGGCTTAGTGTGATTGTATAATGGGCCATGGAGTCCTTGGTGACAGCACTTCTTGTTCCTCCCTCCCAAGACATCTACTTTCCCCTTCCAGTTCCTCCTTCCTGGTCCCATTTGCCATCTCTCTTGGCTCCATTCTTTCCCTTCCTCCTCCCTGCCCCCCAAACACACTTCTCTCTTCTGCATCTAGGAATCAGATCACCTGGGAAATTTTTCTAAAAGATAAGTTAATGATTGACTGAAGCTGGAACAGCTCCCTTGCTGCAACCAGTTATATTGGTACCCATGCATTCTATGAAGAGTGCCATTCCAGCCAAAGTGGGTGGAGTGCTGACATCAAACGAATAATCTGCTTCGACTTCCCTTGATGACCTGTTAAATCCCATTGCCCTCCCAAGGCTTGGGATAAAATAGCTCAATTCCTCACTCGCTCTGCCCCACACTTCTTACAGAGGACTTAAGGGTACAATTTCCCTGTGGAATCCATTCTCTGCCTAGTTTATCCAGCCACCAGGGGCCACATCTAATCTTGATGAAAGGTATATTTAAAAAAATCACTACTGAGGGCATCGGGGGTTTATGATGGAAGGACAGAAAAATATGCCGGGGTGTCTATTTCTGGCTGGGTTCTGCAGTTTGGCAAAGTCCATGCTAATGGCTCTTCAGCTTGCAAACGTGCTGCACAGTGAAGCACTGCCTAACCAGTCTTTGTATAACTATGTGAGACTGCCAACAAAAACATGGAGATCAATTAGACTGATCCAGTTGACATAATTGGACTGCCAGCAAACATCTGAGAGAGTCTCCCACCAAAACCTCTTGAGTAAACTTAGCAGTCATGGGATAAGAGAACAGGTCTGCTTATGGAATGGCAAGTGATCAAAGAATCAAAAGCAGAAGGAATAAACAAATGAGGGAAATAAGCCATGAAGGCCACCCTGAAGGACTTTCTATTGTGAGAAGCAATATTTAACTTGTTGACAAATTATCTGGAGGCAGGTATGAGATTTGCAAATGACCGCCAAAATAATCAGCACAGTAAAATCCTAAGGAGACTGTTAGGTACTCCAAAAGGATCCCTCAAAACTGTGAAGGGACAGCAAAATGACAGATACCGGTATTTGGTTCTTATGCTGTGTAGCATGTGTGATCTGGACAATAAAACCCAACATTTCACAGATAGACTGGTGGGTTCCTGAACTGGCCATAATTAGCCAAATTTAGGGACTGTGGCAGTTAATTCATTGCAAATATAAACCCAGCAGGGAGCACCAACAATGGCAGCAAATGCCATGTTAGAAGCTGTCAGGAACAGTTCTGAAAATGAAATGTTTCCCCGCACACCTCATTCGGCCCTTATACAGCTTTTTAAAAGCATTGCATCTTTTAATCACTATTAGCTACAATGGCTAAATGGAACCTTGCTTGTCAGAGGCAAAGGGAACTCAGGCCCAGGGGCAAAATATTTTCCTCCAAGCCTCTCTATCTCACAGTCAGAACCCTTCCCAGGCCACACCCCTCGTTGGCTCTCCTCTGCAGACCTAATACTTTTCCCTGGCTGGAATGAGCCCCTGAACTCTGGTAACACCTCTTGCCTGCCTGGATGGATGAAAGAGAGTTTGAGTGCGTGTTAGGAAAATAGCCTTATCTAGGAAAAGTAATATTTGCATTCATTGCTCTACCCACGTGTGCCTTTTCCCACACCCATTACTGGCAAGCAACCCTTGGAAGGTTGCCCGGAAGGGAATGTGGCCCCAGGACTGACAATGGTCCCTCCCCCCCAACCCGGCAATAAACCTCTGAATACCATATATGGGGACCAACAACAAAGAGGAAGCTTTTGGCTTCATCTCTTACCTGAAGCATCCAAGATGGCCAGTCTTGGAAGCAGACCCAGCTAGACCTTCAAACTAATCCAGCATGGCTGTTCTTAGGCTGGACCTTGTTCATTCCCCCCCCCCCCTTTACATTTCACGTGCCCCAAAAATACATTATGAAAACCTGTATTACTGTACATACACTCAAACTTAAAACAGTATACATCTGCTTTTTTAAAAAAATTCTTATTAAGTGATCCATGAATTGGAACTGGTCTTTGCTTTTCTGGAGAATTTGTGGATGAAGTAAGGCTCCAGCATTTCCCCGCAAAGGTATCTTTGTGCTTTGTTCCTCTTGCCAGTCTAAATTTGTGAGTCAATTTTTCCCTTAAGGGCAGGGATCTTATTCATACCTAACCAATTTGATGGTTTGAAGGTCAAAAGGGGCACCAATCCTCACTAGTTATTACAAACCATTAAATTGTGACTAGCTAAACAAACAACAAACCATTAAATTGTGACTAGCTAAATCATTGATTTTAGGAGTCTGTCTGTGTCTGGTCTTTTAAGGAGCAGGAGTCAGTAACTGTTGGGAAGGTCATGAAGTTAAGGTTGCTGACCACAAACAGAACATGAGTCAGCATGCAACACACTGCTACAAAAAGAGGACCCAACAACGTTTTAAGTTGCATCACAAGAAGATAAGAAATCATAATCTCAGGGCCTTCTTCGTGATTATCCCAGATAACACAGCCTACCTCAAGGCCAAACTAGATGAAGCAGAGGCTGCCACGCTTCTTTAATCATGTCTCCCTCCTATTCATATATAACACAGAGAATGAGGGACATTTTTAAATGACAAGGCCATGCTGGTGGTGTCAGGTGACCTGTGCTCTGACCTCAGAGAGCCTTTAGCTGTAGTTATCCATGCTCTGGTAACTTCCAGGTTTGACTACTGGATTGGACTCTATGTGGGGCTACATTTGAAGGCTGCCTGTAAACTGCAATTATATGCATAGCTGTCAACGTTTCCCTTTTTTTAAGGGAAATTCCCTTATTCCAAATAGGATTCCTCGCAAGAAAAGGGAAAAGTTGACAGTTATGATTATATGTGAAATGGGCAGAGATGCAATTAAACAAATCATTGGTAGTGAGGGGCCATTTGTATTTTCTGTCACCGGAACCAACATCTTCAGAGCTGTCTCTAGATAATCCCTCTCTCTTTCTCGCCAGAGACCTCTAAGACTTTCCGCTGGAGTTTTACATGAAAGTCTGGCACCATTTATTAGAAAGCATGACACAGCTTGGAGGTTTATCATGCAAAATGCATATGGGCAGGCTGAAAGTTAGTTATGTGGCTCCTCTTAAACTGCACAAAGACGTATACAGAAACAGGAGTGGGTGTGGACTTTTGTTTTGCTGCAGGGTGCCTGCTGCTTCCCTCTGCCTTCCCTCCTCAAAGGACACACACAGTAGTTATAAACTTGGTGCCTATTGTCTCCTGTGCTTCAGACACAGTTTTCATTTTGTGTTGTTTTCTCAAGTGCCTGCATGAATTTGTTCAAACATTTGTTCAGCAATTTATTTTTCTCTTTAAGAAGTTTTTTTTTACACTTAAAAACAACCTGCTCTGGCAATTGGCACAGGAGCCTGAAACAAGCAAGCAGGCAAATGGAGCAAGGAGAGAAATAAAAGCCACATTCCTGTGCCCACTTACACAGGAGCATTTCCCATTAAGCTCACTGGAGCTTACTTCTGCACAGACATGCACAGAATTGCACTGCATGCTGTTCTCTCAGTAGATATGAAGACTCTCCAAAGGTTGGCTCATATTTTTTCAACATTTGAGGAAGGAATATTGCACAATAAACGCACCCAGCAGCTAATGGTATGTGGCTTCTATCTGCCAGACTCACTGATGTGTAAATTACGGTATGCCCCATCATCTCCTCCACCCACTTTTTAGTCATACTGTCACAAGTATGGACTCCAAAAGCAAAAGACACAATATATCATCCTAGCATAGTAAAATACAGTTTTCTGGTTGTATCCAAAGTCATCCCCTTAGTACAATAACTTCCACAAGAGTAATGGGAATTCCTCTCCCTCTCATCTACACACTCGCAAATCTGTTCCGGGGTTTTTCCCCAATCCTAAAGAACAGAGTGTGGGTGTACATGGGGACAGGCAGTCCTGCTGTACAGGTGGAACTCCACACACTAACAGACCAACTTTGCAGGGTACAGGCCTTTGTCTCCAGCACTAGGTAGACAGTATATCCCTGTATTGCGCCATAGCAAGGTACTGGAAACTCAAAAGTTGTTTGCCATCCACACCTCTTATCAGTTATCAATTCTTGTCTCATCCTGGGAAAGTTGTCAACTGCAACATCTATCCCAAAGGCAACTTCTCAGTACGTGCAGGTCCTGCTACCTAAACACAAATGTGTTCCCTGAAATTGTTTGTTTGGCAAGCATTTGAATAACAAATAATTGATCTCCATTTATTCCTATGGGGAAATTTATAACGCATTCCTGATCATTGAATTTTGACTCCCCCCACTCCCGCAGAAATTATACCAGGAAATCCCTCTGCAAAATGCACTCTGATTTGTCCCATCAGTTTCCCCTCTCTCCAACGAGCAAACAAAGAAGTAAAAAATGCTCTCGGTTCTGATATCTGAATCTGTGATGTGTATAGCGAGGTTCAGGTGTTAATTCCTCATGTTCAATAAGTGAATATTCACCTAGTGGGTGTTTGGAAAGTGGGACCTGTGTGCATAATGGAGAAAATAAGCTGTTGATCACAGTCTTTGGAGAAGATACGTTTTCCCTTCACAGGCTCATAACCCAATTTTATTCTGTACCACAGTAGCCCTTGATAATAGGGAAGACCTGGTCTGGCAAAACCTGCCTTGCTATACCACTTACCTGCTGGGAAGGTGTTGGGTTGTACCATCCCTAGGAAGGAGTGCACCATACTGTACAAGCCCAGCAGACCACCACTTGGGCCAGTGGGCTGTGGGTGATATTGAGGTTGTGTGAAGTTTTGCAGAGCCATCTTGGTAGTAGAAATGCAGGGCCCTTTCAAAGTTCCTGGGCAAGCTCAGAAAGATCCTGAGGAGCTTCAGATCATTTCCTTCACAGGAATCCCTGCCCGTGCAGTGCCCTAGAAGGACAGCTGGCCTCTGCAATGGTTTCTTTTCACCCTTCACTTGGATGCAAAGGATTTGAGAATTTTGCCCCACCAGACCAGGGAGCTCAACTGCCTGCCTGCAATAAAGCAAAGGTGTCAGTGAGTTGGTGCAGCTCAGAAGTCAACCAGGAAAAGACTGCGGGGGGGGGTGGACATGAAATAGCACCAACTTCCTTGTCCAAGTTGGGATGTGGGTGGATAATGTAGTCAACAGGGATGTTCTGGAGTTAGGACAGAGGACACAGAGGTGAAAATAGGAGGCCCTTAATGCAATCCACAAGCTCATGCCCTTAACTCCCTCCTCACCCAATTTTAGCCAAATCATGCCACCCCATAACTTTCAAACAGTAGCTTAGGGGCACAGAAGGTAAGGAGGCATATGCCCTACCTGTCATCTGAATACTGCCACCTTCCCCTCTGCCAACCTCAGTCATAGCCAACAGTATATGGGCAAGAGCACAGCAAGAAAATGCAAACGACTGCAAGGAAAGGAAGACTTCAGGAGTTCAAACCATGATGCAGCAGGGCCCAGTATAGCAGTCATGTCGATGAGTTCATTATTTTCTAACAGCGTGTCCCAATTTGGGGCCCTTCATACGCTTTGGACTACAACTCCCATTAGCCTCTGTGCTGGCTGGAACCGATAGGAATTGCAGTCCAAAACATCTGAAGGGCACCAGGCTGGGAAAGGCTGCTTTAGAATTAAAGCACAACAAAGCCATTTTTGCACCTTACCCTTACGATCTCCCCCAAAATGGTTTGAACAATGCTGGGCTGCAGAGCTGCATCACCCAAATGAATTGTTCGGTTAGCAAACTTCTTCTGAGATGGGATGTGGCAAGTTATTTGTTATCATCACCACCAGATCTCTATGTATTTAATCGCTGCCTGACAAACCAAAATTCAACAGGTGACGTATTTTCCAGCATAGAATTCAGCGGGGAGGGGACAACTTTATGTGCTTATTTTCTGCCTTCCTGAACTACAGAGTTCATTCGAGAAAAATAATCATGTCAGGGACGCGGGTGGCGCTGTGGGTAAAAGGCTCAGCGCCTAGGGCTTGCCGATCGAAAGGTCGGCGGTTCGAATCCCCGCGGCGGGGTGCGCTCCCGTTGCTCAGTCCCAGCGCCTGCCAACCTAGCAGTTTGAAAGCACCCCCAGCTGCAAGTAGATAAATAGGGACCGCTTACTGGCGGGAAGGTAAACGGCGTTCCGTGTGCTGCACTGGCTCGCCAGATGCAGCTTGTCACGCTGGCCACGTGACCCGGAAGTGTCTGCGGACAGCGCTGGCCCCTGGCCTCTTAAGTGAGATGGGCGCACAACCCTAGAGTCTGGCAAGACTGGCCCGTACGGGCAGGGGTACCTTTACCTTTAAGAAAGAAAGAAAAATAAAAAAGAAGGAAAAAAAGGAAAAATGATCATGTCAACAGTACATTTGTGTTTTTTAGAGGACTGCACATGAACCTAGAAGCTAGATAACTATTCTAGCTAAAGGCTGCAAATACTGTCCCTCTGAATATTACTTGGAAGGAGAGGGAGGAAAGCAGGACAGAAGCTTTAGCCTTGCATCGCAGGGGGTGGACTGGATGACCCTCAGGATCCCTTCCAGATTCAAAGCTGATGTGGAAGCTTTCCGGGGCCCCAGGCTCGTCACGGGGGCGGGGAGGGGGGCAGAAACAGGTGGCCAGACAAGGTGAGTCTCTGGCCTGACTAGGGGCAGGAGCATTTCTCAGGTCCTTACGAAGCCCATGGCAGAAACAGCGCCTCTTTCGCGCCAAACTCGAGCCTCTACCACTCCAAGAACTAACATCCCAGACAGCAGCCCCCCTACTCAGGAAACACCAGCCAGAACCGAGAGGCGCTGCCAGAAGGATGAAACACACTGGCCGTCCCATCCGTCCCACCCTCCAAGCAACCCAACTCGCACACTTCCTCCCGGAAAGTCCTTCTCACCGAAAAGTCTCCTCACCTGCGGCGCCCCAACGAAGCGGCACGGAGGAGGAGGAAGTAAGCGGCGCTGCCGCCGGCGCCACGGAGCTCAGCACCGGCTGTGAGGGAGGCACGGACTCGCCCTCCCCGCGACCCGCCAAGCGCCACTGTCCGCCGCCCGGGAGGGAGTTAGGAAAGTCTCAACTTCTCCTCGCGCGCGCGCGCGCTCCGACTCCCTCCCCTCAGCCAGCCCGAGAGATCCCACGCTTGGTCGCGCTCAGGCCGGGGAGAGGCAGATGGATTCAGAAAGCCGCCCAAACCACGCGCGCCTGGGGAAGGGGGGGGATTAGCCTCACCTGCCTCTGCCCCCTCGCGGACACTGCGGGGCGCGGGAGAAGGAGAGCAAAGGCTACAGCGAGGGCGCTCCGTCGGGCGCCGGTGCCCATAGCGGATTTCTCTCGGCGTGGAGCGAGGGGGCTGGACCCAGGAGAACAGCCTCACCTCCTTTCCAGTCCCCGCCCTGCCCTCCCTTCCGTTCCCCGGCCCGCCTGCCGGCCGCTTTCTTTGGGTCGGTGCTCTGGCCCCTCCCAGCTGCCCGTGCCCCCTCCCCGGCCCGGGAGCAAGCCAGGACATCCGCGCGCAACCCCTGCGCCCCCCAAGGCCATCCCCGGCTCCCCAAGGTCGGAGCCCGCGGGAAACTCTTGAGCGCAGCCCCTTGCAGACTCGGGAGCTTTGGAGACTCCTAGATGCTTAAGGGAAGAGGGCGGGAGGTCGGGACAGATGGAAAATTGGATACTTCCCCAACTCACTAGACTGTTTCTGTCTTTCCCCCGAGCGCAAGATGGTTCCTTAGCAACTTTGTTTTTCTGCATTTCCAGCTCTTTTATTCATTTATATTTATTAAAATAATTGTATGCAGTTAAAACCAATGCATTAAAAACCCTCTAATAAACACAGTAATAAAGCTTTCCAATGGCTATTTTCAATAAAACACTAAACACAAAACTTTATTTCTTTTTACTATTCACTTTGTGAAATGAATGGTTATTAGTTTTATCTGTAGCTAGCGTTGTACTGAATATACGGTAATTAAGGATTTTCTTCCATTATACATTATTATATTATTATTGAAGAAAAAAGCTTGTACACCACACTGGATGGACATTATAATAATAACATAATAATGTTCTTAACCCACACACTAAATATTATTACAAACTGCCCGATCCTAGCTAGATTTTAATATCTCAAAAGAGTGTAAATCCATAAGTTGTACTGGGTATGTATCTTCTGGATCTTTATTCTCAATGTACTTTTGTTCACCTCTCGGATATTTTATGATCAAGGGGGTTATCAATTTTTATTTTAAAATCATAAATAATAGCACTGGAGAGGATCTGTTATTAGTGGCTAGGAAACAAATGAACCAAAAGGAAGGTCTTTAATTGACTATGAATGCACACAACTGTTCTGTGGGCTTTGTGCATATGCTGCAGGAGGTCTGCTTTTTGTAAACACTGTGACACTCTCCTGCAAATATGGGGAGTCTCTTGAACTTACCTAGTCTGTATTTTGCTGCCACGCTATTTGGGTTGGGGTCACCAAATCTGGTTAACATTATTATTAGGGTTGTCTTTGCCTATGCATTAAATTGTGGGTCTTCCTCACACAGTGGATTTTAAGCTACCAAGTTGTCAAGTATTAATTACATTACCATAGGGCTTCCATTTGCATTTTCTGCCTCCGCTACCAAATATCAGGCTGCCTTTTAATAATATTATTATTCCCAAAATAAGATAATCTATCAAAATGTAATCATTCTTTTCACCATTCCCTCATCCTCAAGTTTATTTAATTCCACAGTTCATCCCCTTGGATTCCATCTCTGGTAATAATTTCTTACCATTTGAGAGCCAGCGTGTGGTCGTAGTCGTCTAAGACCCGGGAGACCAGTGCTTAAACCCCCACTCATCCATGAAAACCACTGGGTGACCTTAGGCCAGGCTCTGTCTCTCAGCCTAGCCTACTTCACAAGAGAGCGGAAGAAGGGTGTACACCACCACCTTCAGCTCCTTGGAAAAAAGGTGGGTTATAAATGTAATAATTTAAAAATATGTAAGTAAATTTATGTACAACTTCATCTATAAATTATTTATAAACAGACAGAAACTACGTATAGCCGTTGTCATCATAGTTTATTTGTATATCACTTTTTGGCACAAAGGTCAGTTGTCTTTTCATTAATACAATTTCAATACTTTTTAAATTTTGACACACCCCTATAATTAATAGAAATCATCTGCTCCCAGTTTCAAATTGGAAACCTATAATATATTTGTTTGCAAAACATCTGTGATTTATGGGAAAGTATCTCTCCTTTAAATCAGAACCAGTGAAGGCGGTGAAGGTCCTGTGTGAGTGCCTGGAGGCTGTTGGAGGATGGATGGCGGCTAACAGATTGAGGCTGAATCCTGACAAGACAGAAGTACTGTTTTTGGGGGACAGGGGGCGGGCAGGTGTGGGGGATTCCCTGGTCCTGAATGGGGTAACTGTGCCCCTGAAGGACCAGGTGCGCAGCCTGGGAGTCATTTTGGACTCACAGCTGTCCATGGAGGCACAGGTTAATTCTGTGTCCAGGGCAGCTGTCTACCAGCTCCACCTGGTACGCAGGCTAAGACCCTACCTGCCCGCAGACTGTCTTGCCAGAGTGGTGCATGCTCTAGTTATCTCCCGCTTGGACTACTGCAACGCGCTCTACGTGGGGCTACCTTTGAAGGTGACCCGGAAACTGCAATTAATCCAGAATGCGGCCGCTAGACTGGTGACTGGGAGTGGCCGCCGGGACCACATAACACCAGTTCTGAGAGATCTGCATTGGCTCCCAGTACGTTTCCGAGCACAATTCAAAGTGTTGGTGCTGACCTTTAAAGCCCTAAACGGCCTCGGTCCAGTATACCTGAAGGAGCGTCTCCACCCCCATCGTTCAGCCCGGACACTGAGATCCAGCGCCGAGGGCCTTCTGGCGGTTCCCTCATTGCGAGAAGTAAGGTTACAGGGAACCAGGCAGAGGGCCTTCTCGGTAGTGGCTCCTGCCCTGTGGAACACCCTCCCAGCAGATGTCAAAGCAATAAACAACTATTTTACTTTTAAAAGTCATCTGAAGGCAGCCCTCTTTAGGGAAGTTTTTAATGTTTGATGCTGTACTGTTTTTAATATTCAGTTGGAAGCCGCCCAGAGTGGCTGGGGAAACCCAGCCAGATGGGCGGGGTATAAATAATAAATTATTATTATTATTATTATATTATCCAAAGAGAAAAGGCAAATGGTAGCAGAATTGAGGAAAATGACAAAATCTAAAAACATTGTTGAAGGAAGGATTTAAAAGTGTCTAATCCAGTTATATATATATATGAATGAATACAGTGGTACCTCGGGTTACATACGCTTCAGGTGACAGACTCCGCTAACCCAGAAATAGTACCTCGGGTTAAGAACTTTGCTTCAGGATGAGAACAGAAATCGTGCTCCGGCAGTGCGGCAGCAGCGGGAGGCCCCATTAGCTAAAGTGGTGCTTCAGGTTAAGAACAGTTTCAGGTTAAGAACAGACCTCCAGAACAAATTAAGTTCTTAACCCGAGGTACCACTGTATACTACTTTTCAGGTAGAACTCACAAGTTTACATAGTATTACAAAAACAATAAGCATCAATTAAAAGCTGTACAGTAAAACAGAAAAGACAAACAATGGAGGAAGCTTGTTTTTTTCATGCTGCATCTTTTATCCAGGTTCTCTTGCAGAAGGAAAGTGCCGTCTCACCTGGAATGCTGGGATGTGGATACGATAAGGCACCAAGGTGTTTCTGCTGCTTTCCAAAGCCTCTCAGGCCAATAATGTTATTGGAAGCCTATTATAGTGAAGTTGTCTGCTGATTGTGTAGTTCAGCCCTTGGTGATTGTGATTACTGTACAAAATAACCCTGGAAGGAATAGTTATTCAGGATGAATATTTGCATGGAATGCAAGAGTGTAATGCTATGCATGCAGGATTTAAAGTTTTTCAAACGATGGAAGAAGACTTAGGCATGTGGCACACTACTTCTCATTAAAGTGGTTCATCATGGTAAGTTGTTCAGGCTACTGGGAAATGGGGGGGGGGAGAGAGAGATGGAGATTTAAATGTTAAGCAAACATTCAGGAACCTTCAGGAACCACTTGTTGACATTTCAGTTCCCATTTTATCAGTTTTGTGTGGCTGACATTTTCTGGGTTTTTATTGGTAAACATGTTTGCATAGACAAGTACATAATCTGGTTGATGGGACATAAACCATACTTTAGAATGGAACATCTTACCTTGTGACTGAAGAAGATGGCTCTTTAAATAGATTTTGCTGTTCAGTGATTTGGTTAATATTTTTCTTGGCAATGCCAGAAAGCTATTGCCAGGAGATGTAATGTTATTAGTGCAATCTTGTATACTTACAGTACTGAATTGATGTGGTTTTGGGTATGGCGTTATATTGGCCATTATGTTGTGACTGTATTGTGAAATTGTTGGTTGGTTTTGAGGTGTATTCCTGTTTTCTTTGTCATAAACCTCTTCACACAATTCTTTTCTGTGTAAAGGCGGCATACAAATAAATGGTGATGAGACTGAACCCCATAGAAAGTCATTATCTAATATTTGGTGTTTTTTAAACAACAACAACAACAAAAGGGAACATTTCTATGGCGAAGACTGACAGAGAAACTATGTTGTATGGGAGAGAGGGTCATTTTCAGCTGATGGGACTTGTAGTTAGGTTTGCCACCTGTCCTGTATAATACAGGATTGTCCTGCATTTCAATTTAAAATGCTATGCCCTGTATTGATGCAGTTTTAGCCTGTATTTCAGGTCTCCTCTTTCTCTCTCTGCCAAATTAGGCATCCTCACCAAATGCATGTCTGTGAAAGGTCACGTATTTAAGCTCTGGGTAGCCAAGTGAAGACAGATTTAAAAATTCATGCGCATGTTTGTGTGTTACAAATTCCAGAAGGGCAATCTGGTTAGGCTGCAATAGATTGCAATGGATTGGTCTGAAGTCACTTCATCACCAGATGGGGGGAAATCTCCCCCAACTACCCCACCCCTCCCTGTCCTATATTTTGCCAGAACAAAGGTGGCAACACTACTACTACTACTACTACTACTACTACTACAAATTGTAGTCCAAAATAACTGAGGGCACCAGTTTGGTGAAGGCTGTACCATTACGACAAGCTGCAGCTGGAGTGATATGGTACCCTGGGTTGACCTGGCATGCCATACAATAATGGATTGTGCCTTGGT